GAGAAGCCCCACTGGGGCTGCACAGAGTTCAGAGGGTTATCATGCTCTTCCGGCTTGATTTGTGGTTACTCTGGTTCAGTGACTATAAAGAAATGAGTGGCCTGGCTAGACAGGAACTGGCTGAGAAGCTGCCGTGGTGGGGAGGGAGGAAATGGAAGCAGTCAGATCGCAAGTGACTTTACGCTTTTCTTTGATGGAAAGACATTGTCCTCGCCCCACTCTTGGCAGCTGTTTTGGGTTGGGCCGGGCCATCTGCAGGCTGCCTGGGCAGCCCATGCTGGGTCTCAGCAGCAGCAGAAAATGTCACTGCCTGCCTCAAGCCCCTAACTCACCTTTGGATGTCTCCTGACCAAGGTTTCACCATGAGATTCATCCCAGTGCCAGAAAAATTAAGCAACGGGACAGGAAACTGCTGGTGGGGGGTGAGGGAGTTGTGGGCATCAGAGGGATAGGGTAAGAAAGCCGTGAATTTTCAATCCCTGAGCCTGGAAAAGTGACTAGATCCACCTGGGAGAAGGTGTCCCCTGTGCTCCAGAAAGGCTGATGACCCCCACGGGGCGGAGGCAGCAATCAAGAGGATCATCCAGGCCAGGACTGGCAGACTCTGTCTGCAAAGGGCCAGAGTGTAAATATGCTGGGCTCTGAGCATCCCATATGGTCTTTGTAGCATATCCTCCTTTTTTTTTTTTTTTTTTAATAGTGATTTAAAAATGTGAAAGCTGTTTGGAGTTCATGAGCTGTACAAGAACAGGTCATCAACCATAGTGGGCTGACCATTGGTTTAGACAAACTAATTTTTTTTCATTTAAAAACTGGGCTCCATGCCTGGTGTGAGTGTGTGTGTGTGTGTCCACTGTCCAGGGAGAAGGTTGTGGTAAAGAAGGGGCCTGCCACTCCCACAGTTCATCCCTCCACACCCCAGCATCCTGGGACAGATGGGACACTGGGAAAAACTCACTTAGTGGAGCCAGGAAGTGTGGCAGAAGACTGGAGGGCTCTGTCCCAGCCTAGCTCATGCGTAGCGGCATCTCTGACCTGCAGGAGGAGGGGTTCAGGCTGAGTGACGCTTAAGCTTCCCCCCAAAAGTGATGTCTGCTGCAGGTATCTGGAAGCCCTTCTGAAACAAAGTGAGACGGCAGAGGGAGGACAAGCTCAGAATCTTGTATTTGTGGAATGGTTCCAAGCACCTCTAAGCTTGAAAGGACCGTGCCACATCCAAAAGCCCCCTCGGGGAGCACAGGGGCCTGCATGGCTCCATACAGACTTGGGGACAACTGAAGGAACGACCCGCCCTGCCATGCTCACCGTGGGGACGCACTGTGCAGCCTGCACATAAGGCTAAGATTGAGAGCAGCTGAAGGAGCCAGGCCACTGCGGGCAGTCAGTCACCCACAGGAGGCTGCACAGAGACAGGTCATCCTGACCTCCGTCCCAGCCAGCACCATACTGGCCAGCACACGGGCCTTTGTCTGTGTCCAGGCATCCAGGCAGCCCACAGGAAGCTGGGGATGGGGCCGCCGCTGCCAGGCAGGCCTGAGGACTGCTCTCTCACTGAGGCTTCTGGAACACCGTCTGCATATCTGGGCAGTGCTGGGCACTATGGGGAGGGGTGTGGACAGGCTATAGAGCCTGTGCTGGAAGGAGTGGCTGGGTCAAAAGTTAGTGCCATCCGGTGAGCACATGGGCAAGAAAAGCAGCATACTGTGCACTTAGCGGGGGAGGCTGACACCAACAGCCTTAGGAGATGCTCCTGGGGGCCCTGTTCTGGGCCTTGGCACCTGCATTTTGTGGAAATGCTTTGAGCCCTCCGGGAAGTCAGCTCTGAGCACAGGGCACAGGGCCCTTGTTTACAGAAGGCTTAGGAAGAATCAGCAGCAGAAGCCTCTGGGCCTGGGATTGTAACGCAGTCCCCATGCAGATGGCAGAAAGCCCTGCATTTTCTGACTCTAGGCAAAATTGGGTGCTCAAGTCAGGCAGCCTGAGGAGGTGCAGAAGGAGGGAAGTAAAACACAATAACCGCTTGTAAGTTATGTGTCCAGGTACTGTGGCTAACAACATTGGCCTTAAAGGGATGGGGTGGCGGGGGAATGGATGCTTTGAAGCCACCAGGCTGGCACAGCCATCCTGTCCTCCAACACTCTTTCCCACCTTCCCTCCCCTCTCCCAGTGTGCAGGGACCCCTGAGACAGTGACAGGTGGGACGTAGGGGTGCCAAAGTCACAGCATGTCCTGCCATCTTCCCACTTTTCTAAAATCTATTACTTCCAAAAGTAACTTTGCCGCTACCCAGGGAACAACCAGAGGCCAAGGGCAACTCGCCAGTTCAGGGCACTGAGCTGTTAATAGAAAGGTCAGGCAGTCTCAGGTGGTGGCACGGTCAGGACCTAGGACATAGACAGACTCAGGCTCTGTTAGTGACCAGCTGTGCGACATGGGTGAGTTGTGTGGCCTCTTTGGCTTGGTAAGAGGAGGTTACAGCCCTCACTCCTGCACTGGCTGACCCAGGGTCTGTGGGAGAGCAGAGAGCACAGGGAAGCACTTGGCGGGGCCCAGGGATCTTGAATGAAGGTGTTTCTTCTATAAAGGAAGAGAGCCCAGGAGGTGTGTTCTGTGTCTTGAATGTATCTATAACCAGCAGATTCCATACTTTGGAGCCTAAGTCCCTGTGTGATGGCGATAAGACATGAGTACTTTTGGGAAGTGGCTAACTCCTCGGGGTCTACTCTGATGAATGGATCGGTGCTCATATGAGAAGGACAGATGGATGAGCAAGGCCATTTGGGCCCTCTGACCCTTCTACCTTCCATCATGAGGACACGAAAGAGGCGCCATCTTGGAAAAAAGACTGGGCCCTGACCAAACACCAAACCTTAATCTTACATGTCTCAGCCTCCAGAATTTATAAGAAAGCATATTTATATTGTTTAAAGACTGCACGGACTGTATTTTGCTATATTAGCACAGACTGAGATATGTGTTTGAAAAGGAAATTACTTCCTGTCTCGGAGCAGCAAACCACACCCTTACCACCCTTACCTCTCTTACCCAGGTCCTCCAGCCCGAGGCAGGCAGATACACCCCAGCTGCTGTCTCTGGTAAGCCGGCCTCCCCTTGTTCACTCCCTCAACCTTCCAAGCACCTTGAGTCTCACTCCTAAACCAGATCCCCTGGGGGTGACAAACCTGGACAGTTTCAGTTCCTAACCAGATCATGACCCTAGCACCATTTGAGGGAGCACCCAGGATTCCTGTCTCCAAGGTAGTTTTGCGCCTCTTTGATCTGGCCTGCTGTGCATTCATTTTAAAGATAAACCTTCTGTAAACAGCTTTGTTTCCATTTCCCCTTTCCCCCCAAGTTCTTGAATGAAGCTGTCCTGGGCCCATTGGTCTATTCCTCCCACTAGCCATTTACTTCCCCTTTCTGAACCATGATGAAGATAGCAGAAACCTAAAATAGGAGAAAATAGGAGGAGTGGACATCCGGGGAGCCAGTAATCATACCTCTAGGAATCTTCTCTAACAGCATAATTACATGTATGCTCCGATGTGGTCATTACAGCAGTGCTTACAATAGTGAAAAAAATGGAAACATAAGTAGGAATTGGTTTGGTAAATTTTGCTTCATATATAACATTTTTTTAAAAGATGAAGATGTCTATCATTTTCAAGATTTAAAAAAAGAAAAAGATTGGAGGCCAGCAGGCAGACTGAGATCGCAGATTGGTAAAACTTGTAGGCATGTAGGATTTGTACATAGATAACAAATGTTGCAAAGATTAGATGCCAAAATACCAACATTGCTATCTCTTGGGGTGAGGCTTTGGGTGGGTTTCCTATTCACAAACCACCAGGGTGGGTCTGGCCAAAGGAAAGCATCACCCCCTATGTATTTAGGATTTACATGCCAGCCCTCTTTGTCCTTAAAATATGTTGGGGTTTTGGTGGTGGTGGTGGTGTTGTGATTTATTTTTCTTGTTGCTTTTAACCTAAAGCAAAGAAACTCTGTTAAAATTGGCATAAGAAGACAGGCATGGTTGCACACCCATAGTAAGCCCAGCACTCTAGGAGACTGAAGCAGGAGGATCACAAGTTCGAGCCCAAACTTGCCACTCAGCAAGACCCTGCTTCAAAATTAAAAAGAAAAAAATTTAAAAAGTCGGGGATGTAGCTCATTGGAAAGGTACTAGGGTTCAACCCTTAGTGCAAAAATAAGGTGTAAGGGACTGCTCAGAACAAACGTTTACTTCTGGTTGTGGAGCGCAGGTGTCAGCTCTGTTTGATGTAGTTGCAGAGACTGAGGACCAGAAGGGTTAAACAGCACACCCAAAGTCAGGCCAAAGAAGCCCAGCTCCCCGCGCCTGGCCTGCTGCTCTCCCCACCCCACAAACTGTTCAAACTGCGGGGTCCACAGACAAGCAGAAGCCCCTGGGGTCAGCACACCCAACCAGCTGGAGTCCAGAGCCAACACCCTCGTAACTCACCTGTGATTGAAGCATCTTCTGCAGAGTCAGAGGCCACCTCTTGGCCAGCTCTGCAGTGATTCCCGCACACGGAGCCCGGGGTCATGGGGGCACCCACAGCTGGGAGACCAGACTGCTACCTGGAACCCCAGGTGCCAGTTGGGTACTTGCCCCCTTGGGACAGTTTTACTGCAGCCGTGAGATTTTGAAGCCTTGGTTTGTTTCTGGAGACAGCATGTTTGTTTTCGGAGGATGAGCACACCTTACTCGAATCCTGATCCAAACAGGAAGGTTCTGAGAAGAACCCTGTTGGCTGTGGGAAGCTGGGTCCTGGGGGGGCCTGGGTTACCCCAGATTTCAAAGAGTCCCCCAGGCCGGCGGGTCTCACCAGGATACCCTGGAAGTGTCTGCGGACACTGGGGTTGTCACAGCCATGGGAGACTACAGAGGAAGAGACCCAAGAAGCCAGCACCCCAAAAGTGGATATGACATTTTATTTATTATACAACTTTCTTACTCATAAGACTTAAATACCCACCCCACATACTTTTCCAAATGCATTAGATTTGTTTTCACTTCTCGATTGTCCAAACTTCTTGAGATGTGGTGATAACAAGAGAAAAAAAAAATACATTTTTTTCCAAAGAAATATTTAAGAAGAAACACAGAGTCATCCAGGGTGGCTCCCTCTCAGCATCTCACGAAGGGGAAGCTGGGACTGCAATGAACTCCTGCCTTGGTGATGTGCTGTCCTCTTCCTCTCCTACAGGAACCAAAGTCACTAGAGCAGGTAGGGAAGGTTGGTTCTCCAGGCCTCCTTCCCGGGGGCCCCCACTATCGCTGCCTCTTCATAAGCTGTTTGTGCCAGGAAAGCAAAGGAGATGAGGGCATTTGAAGGGCTGGAGAGCCCAGGGGGGTTCCCTGAGCAGCGCCGTCTTTGCAGAAGGTCCAGGGACTCCAGCCGCTTCACATCCAGTCTGCTCCTTCTGGGGGTGACCTGACCCCAGGACTGGACACCTGGTCCCTGCTCCCAGGTCTGTCAATTTGCATCCTGGGTGTCCACTGGGGGCTGTGGCCCCAGAGCCGAGGCCAGCTTGGTGAGCGCCCTTGCAATGACACCTAGGTGGCTGTTCATGGTCCGCAGCTCAGCCAGGAGGTCCCCGACATTGGGCCCTAAGAAGGGGTCCTGGACACCAGGGTCCTTCTCCGGGTTCTCGTTCCCTGGGGCCCTGGGAGTGGCGTCCGGTGAGGAGGTGACCCCCAAGCCCAGGCCTGTGATGGGAGCGGGGGGGCTGCACCCAGCAGGGACAGGAAGACCCGGAGGGGATGGAGCCGGCTTGCAGGGGGACACAGGTGACACGGGCTGAGTGGCTGTGCAGGGGCCTGGCTCCTCTGAGGAGAGGAACAGCGTGGGGGATGACCGCGAGTCCGAGGTGCTGGGCTCTGAATCTGCAGGAAGAAAGGAGACAGGATCACTACTCAGGACAGAGCCCATGGGGAGCCCAGAGGCAGGGAGGACCCTGGGGAGACAGGATGGCCACCTAGTGGACCGAGAGGGAGCTTCGGGAAGCTCACTAGGAGTCAGTGCTGCTGCCCAGCCGGGATGCTCAGAGCAGATGATGGGCTACACGGAGGACCCAAGAACTGGAGTTCCTCAGTTTACCATCTGGGGAGGTGGCCCAGGGAGGGCTGGTGGGCAAGCATGGGGAGACACGGCGTGTGCCCCCACCACTTCCCCAGTCAGCTCAGCCTCCCCAGAAAGCACCCAGACACCTTGCCTGAATGTTCAGGGGTGGCGGCAGTGACCACCCCTGGAAGCTGTCACTCACACTGGCCTTTGGCACAGTGACCACTTCCCACCGGGCCTGGACCAGGGGCCACCTACCACTTACTTCCTGTTCAGTCCCTGTGGCCAAGTTGAGCTGAAGGTTTTCTCAGCTGGCAACTGCACATCTTGAAAAGGGAGACCCTGCCAGCTTTCCTGTCCTGTCCTGTGTCATTCCCTGTCACCTGGGCTAACACTGTCCTGGGGACACCAGTGGAGAGCCTTCAGTTCTCCTCCTCAAAGCCTGCTCCTCTCACCATGTCTGAACCCTGTAAGTGGCCTCCTGGATGAAGTCCTGTTGCGCAGCCTGGGACCTTGGTGAGCAGGAAGGAGTGGGACCCATGTGCAGAGAAGCGAGTGGTCTGGTCCAGCCTTTAATGGCCCCAGCTCCTTGCAGCACAGGAGTAATGGGGAGTATCTGATAACTTCAGCCCTGTAATAGCCACTTCTTTTATTTTCCAAGAATGTCATGAGACCTGCAGGGTGATCTCTGGGGTTGAAGACCCACTGAATCAATTCTGCAGATACCTGACTCAACCCCAGCCCAGATTCTCACCAGGCTTTTCCAGGACGGTGGCCCAGCAGGGCAGCAGGCATGGCCAACCTACAAGGACAGGACTCAGGGAAGGGAGGAGAAGGTTGGATCCTGGCTTGACAGGGCCATGAGCTAGCTCATCTTACCAGTGGGGAAACAAGCTCGGCTGTGTTAGGTCCTCACTCCCTGGCACAGAGCTGGCCGCTGATGCCCAGGGTTGCCCCATGCAAAGATGGGCATGTGCTTTGGGAACTTTCTGTAGCAAAGGAGGAGGGTGGCGTGCAGAACAGGCTTGCCATCCTCTGTGCTGGGGATCGGCCACAGTGAGCACAGGAAAGTCATGGGGGAGGGCTGCCATGCACAGGATCCTGGGACCCATCCCCAGCACCAAGCATAAAAACGCGATCATGAGGGGACAGCACCCACAGTTTAAAGGCTGGGGAAAGGTGGTGGTCTAAGAGGCAGTTGGGGTGCTGGACTAGAACAGTTTCCATGTTTTCTCATTTAACTCCCACAATCACCAGAACACATTTGCAAACAGGGAAACTAAGGCTCACAGTTCAGTTGGTGCGGAGGTACCCCTATGGCTGGCCCATCTTGATCTCTTCCAGCAGATCCCTTCCTTTCTGGAGTCTGAGCCCTCCTGTATTTAGAAATGGTGTTGAATATTTGCATATGGAAAATTCTTTCCCAATTTGTACCTCTTTTGTTTAAATTCAAATGCACTGAGGCCTCTGCCTAAGGTAGCTGTGCCACTAAGTGTTAGGTGGGGTGGCTGCTCCGGCACCTTTAGAAGAGGCACCAGCTGAGGGCTCATGGCCCAACCCAAGTGGATCCTGGGTTTCTACTTTCATTCACTCACTTTGGTGTACACCATATGGCCACCTGTCCTGGTGGCCATGGTTGGGCTAAGGAGAAGAGCATCTATCCATGGAGTTAATAAAGCAAATGGCTGGGAAGGGAGTCTCAGCTTTGAGGGAAAATGCAGAAATGAATGGTGATAGTGGTACCAGGCACAACAGGCAAAAGATAGAAGCAGAGCGTCCATCGATACACAAGTGAATAAAGGCAACATGAGACATACATGCGATGGAATACTATGCAGCCCTGAAAAGAAATAAATTTACACCCATGCTGCCTCATGCATGAACCTTGTAGACAAATGAAATAAGCCAGTCACTGAAGCTATACAGAGTATTATTCCTCATGGATGGGGTAGTGGTTGCCAGAGCTGGGGACCTAGTGTTTAAAGGGCACAGAGCTTCAACTGGGAGGACAAGGAAGTTCTGACTTCAAAGGTAGTGATGGGCACACAGCACATGGGCATCTAATCCCACAGAGCCACACATTTAGAGGCAGCTGCATCGGTGGATTCGCAGTGTGTGTGTGTCTCGCTGTAACGAAGGGCAGGGAGGTGCAGCACTTCTATTCATGACTGCAAGCCCTTGGGAAAGATCCACACAGGCATTTCCTATGCGCCCATTTCAGGGGGTGGAGAAGAGCTTGTGGAACTCTAGAGACAAGAGGGTATAGGGTGAAGTTCCCTGGGGCACCTAAGGATGGGGCCCAGGCCTGGACCTCAACTTTGCCACTGACACAGATGAAGAGGTTCTGGCACAGCACCCACGGCCTGCAGCCAGACACCAGCCCCTCAACTTGTGGCAGTGTTGCTGGGTCTGTTGCTGCCCCATGGCCTTGGCTCTTGCTGTCCCTCTGCCTGGACTGCTCCCCTCCACTCCTCCAGCCCTTGCTCAGTGTAGCCATCTGCAGTCCAACTGGGCAGTGTTCTGTCCCCATCTCTGTGCAGTGGATGTGGCCACTGTCCCATGCACACTGGCAGGGCACTGCAGAGGGGGACGCTGTCTATGCACAGGGCTTGGGTGTGGTGTGTAAGGTCTGCGGGGCACAGAGCGCAGTGCTGGGGGTTTCTGTGCATGGCTGAGGGGCCTGCTCAGCAAGCAGAGGACCCTGAACTCCCACAGGCAACTCGAGCCACCAACGGGTGTAGGCAGGTGAAGGAAGACTCCATTTGTCTTTTTCAGAGGTTACTCAAGGGATAGCTGGAGGGAGACTGGGTGAAAAGGGACATGGGGGATGATACTGCAGCAGGAAGGCACCAGAATGAGTCTGGGGCCAGCTGGTGCTGGGAGCAAATTCTTTTTTCCAGGAATAGATTAAATTTCAGCAAAGTGAAGCCTCCCTTCAACCCTCTAAGAGCGCTGTGATTCTGCCCAGCCTGGTCCCACTTTCGTTGGCCTTCTTGGGCTCTCCTGTGCTGGCCTCCCACAAAAACAAGCATGGGCTTCATGAGGCTGTGTGTGAAGCCCGAACCAAGCTTCCTGCTCACGCTGCAGAGCTACACCGCGATCCCTGCCAGCCCACGCTGCACCCAGAGGGTGGGAGCAATGCCTCTGTGTCCCCGTGAACACACCCGCCCACGTGCAAGGGGGCATCCAGATCCTGCTGGATGGTTCTCGGGAAGAGGTGTGTGTATAACCTGCATATTCTTTGGCAGGAATCTTTCTGTGTAGGGGGAGAGGAAAGACAGAATGAGAGAGCTGTTCCAACACCATAACAGACTTGGGCTCACAAAGCCAAACTCAAAATAGGTTATGCTCCTTCGCAAGGCCGCCAAGGCGGAGCAGTTCTCAGACTGGCCCATTTACACCTTCCTCCTGGAGGGCCACTCCACTTTCTAAAATACTGTTGAGAAATCACAATGACCTGGCACAGTCCCAGCCTACCAAGGCCCAAGCGCCCAACCTCAGGAAGAGCTCATGAGGGGCCATGTCACCTGCACAGCACGGCTGCCCGGTGAACTTGAACTTCTGTCACTGTGCCTGTAGCCTCCGTATGCCTAGAAGCACACCGGGCTCCACATAGCTGGTACCTCTGGTGTTGGCAGCCACCTGGGGCCACCGCCCTGGCTCTTCATGCAGTGGAGGCACAGGAGGGTCCCCTGCCACCTCTCCCAGCCTTGTCCCAGGGATTCTTTGCAGCTGGACGTCCCAGCCTCGATGCTGTCTCTCCCTCACACAGCTGTCCTAATGTGGGCCCTGCCCTCTCCTGCCCTCTCCTCCCCTCCATGCTGCTCCTCCCAGTGACAGCCCTTTTGTACCAGCCTCAGTTATGCACAGAGCTCCACCAGCAGTCAGACACCAATTTGGCCGTGTGCACTGGAAGGAAGGCCTTGGCATCTTGCTTTGCCCAAATGGAAAGATGACACCCCCCACCGGGGCGGGGTGATACCAAGAAGGGGAACCAGGGAGGAAACTGCAAAAAATAAAAATCTAGAATGAACAGGGCATTTGGCTGCCTTGGTGAGCAGGGCTTGAGGCTGATGCTTTGTCCTGGCTTCCACCCGGCCACCCAGACTCTGCCCACTTTTATGTCTAAAGGGACCTGAGGACGTGAAATGCTTCTGGAGGTGTGTAGGGGTGGGCGGCTGACTGGTAGGTAGGTAGAATTGGATTCAACCTTATGGATGCTGACAACCCATCCGAAATCCTCCACTAAGTGGCTCAGTTATCATTTCTTGCGTGTGCTGTGACCAGTGTCTTCTAGTGACAGTTGGCGATCATCCCTCAGTTCGGAGAAGAACCTTGTGGTTCGAGGATAGCCTTCAAAACCCCCGAAATGAAACCAAAGTGTCATGAGAGTGAGATGTCGCAGGTCTGCAAAGCCTGGCCGCCTGCGGGTTGCTGGGGACAGATGTGCATGTCCTTGGCAGACAAGCAAGATCCAAACAGAAGGAACCGTGTGGATCACCCAGGCCAGGGTACACTGCCCACCGCCCTTGGGGCCAAAGAAGATGAAAGGCTTTGATAAACATAGTGTAGAACTTCTGGTGCCCCAGTGAGTTTAGGGGTAAACATTTTTATTCCTGTTTCAAGTGTAGAAACCAAGACAGTTGTGTACAGGCATTGATGAAAACAGGATTCCTCATGCCCTGTAGTCCAACTCACACCACTTAGCCCCTTGTTCCCCCAGGGCCCAAGACCTACACGAAGGGCCAAGTACCCTCAGTGTGGGGTGCCTGTCTGGGACATGGGAGAGAGGTCCTGTGGCCCCCTACCCAGGGCAAGAGCCAGGCCTCTGCCCTTCCAGTGTGGCCTCCAGAATGGCACTGTGCTACCCCTGGCCCTAACTCCTCAGGCCAACAGCCAGCTCCTGTCCTTTCTGCCACACTGGAGTAAAAGTAGGACCAATACTTTCCAACATTCTTTCCAGTGAGATGAAGGTCATTCTCCTCTTCCTCCCCTTCCCTCACCTCCTAGTCTTCTCCTGTGCCCAAGGACACAGACATTCAGTCTCACCAATGTCAAAAAAAGCCAACTCTATGGTTTTCCTCTAAGTCTTGAAAAAAAATAAACAAAACCCACCATTTTGAATTGCTGATGCTTCACTTCAAAGGGCCAAATAAGAAAATAAAAGGAAGTTAAAAGAAATCAAATCTTAGTGAACTAAGGTTATAAAGTTTGAATTTTAAAATTTTTATTACATGTTATATACTGTATTTGTTTTATGTTGTCCATTTATCCCCTTTACTCTTTGCTTGTGGAGGCACGGGCCTGGGTACATTGTGGACCTGGAATTTTGCTGGTGAGCGCTGGTAATGTTTTCTTTCAAACTCTGTGCTGTCATTCACTTATATGTCAAATGAGCAAAAGAAATCTTCCTTCCAGAGACGGGATGAGGTTTAATTGCTGCAAATCTGCAAAGTGCCCTAAAGTCAGCAGATTGCAGAGGTTAGATGAGAAAATGTATGACACTCTTGGCCTGCCTTTCTTTACCTTTTTAAAACAAAAATCTTTTACTACTACTTCTCTTCCGAACACAGTCTGAACCATCTGTCCACTCTGCTGTATCAAAAGGGAGGTGTAGGGATACAAGGGACCTTTCCCACTTGGGTGTCCTGCCTCTCTTACCTTCCTCTCTGTCTCCTTGGTTCTCCACCTGCACCTTGGTATAGATTTTCATAAATTAAAACAAGTTTGACTTGTGAGCCCCTGACTGTACATTTGGCTTCTGGCTCTGGGGCCAATCTCCAGAGCAGGCCACCGAATCGGCTGCCCAACACTAAGCCTGGGGCCACCACATGGCCAGCACCCTCTTTCCTTCTCTG